TCCCTGAGCAAAATGCCAAGCGAGTGGCCTACCACAACATGCTGGTGGATTCCTGTCAAGTCTCAGTTCGCCAGTGGTGCGAAGTTTTGCAGAAGGAGAAGGAAGGGGTTGCTGATCGCAAGAGGAAGAAGAGCGAACAAGAGGTTCCTATCCTTCACGTCCCCGACGTCCCGGACGTCCACGTCCCACGTCCCGGCATACACAGCCGGCAATCCTCGCCAGAGCGTGGTGAGGATTGATGCGCTTCAGGCACTTCCAAAATTTCCACCTATGCTTGGGGACACCACCATACGACTCCAGCATGCCCATGGTGCCGCGCTGACAATGAGGACAAAGAGCACCTTCCCACGCAGGTAGAAGATGATCTGCGCGTAGCATGGACACCACACCGGACACAGAACATTTAACCACATCCACCAATGATCGCTTCCATGTGTGCACATAAGGGACTTGATGCCAATCACCTGTCTTTTTGGACGCAGGCCTTTTCAACACTTGCCGGGCGCGCCCACGCTTCGGAACACGAGGATTGAAGCGTGGCGCCATGACAGAAGCACGTACAGAAGAGGCTGGAAGAACCACAAAACTACAGAGACAAGTTAAGGTATACATCCAGAGGTGCATGTTGAAGCAAAAGCGACGGAACGAGGCTGACAACGACCATGCAGACAGCAAAACAACACACGCTGCAAATCTTGTCTTTCTCGTGGATATAGTGCATTTCACGCCACATGGACAAGCTACACGACTGCTTCTGGTCGAAGCAATAGCTAGAAACCAAGCGAAAGATTCAAACTCAGTAGATGCCGAAGCCACGCAGACGCCACTCACTCATTGAGACTTCGACGCTGATGTCACACCAAGGAGAGTCAAAACTGGGAATACACGTCAGTCATCAGGCGACTAGTCCTAATCAGGAGCTTCGCCCACACATGGCATACCATCATCCATTTCATCCATCATCTTTTCCAGGTCCATCTGCAAATCTGTCCCTTCAGACTCCTCATCGTCAGGCAGACCCAACTCAGCATTTCCAGGATTCATGACAGGACAGGAAGGCATGGAAGGCAAGGATGTTGCGATCCGAGGGCGTTTGACTGGCGAGGGGGTGTCCAACTCAATGACTCTGGTAGAAGATCTCTCTGGAAGATTGGCAAACTTGGTGAGCGGTTCCTTCTTGACTTCCCAGTTTGTCCAGCCACGGCCACGGCTAGCGACATCAGTATCGACATTGACCGGAGATATGCGACACTCATTTGCCAACCATGCATGCCCATCCTTGAACTCCTGCGGTTCCATCTTCATGCGAGGGGCATTATGCATGGCTGCTTCTCGAGTTGCCTCTGCCCTTGACACAGCCTCCTTGAAGTTGTTGTCCTCGGCCTTGCGGATGGCTTCTTTCAACCATTCCTCAGTTTGCAGTTAGGGGAAGGGTTATGAAGATGAATAGAGACACAAACTGAAAAGATGAGCCAAGGGTCTTGACAGACAGATGCAGTAGCAATGATTCAAAAAAACGCAGCTTTAGATGCAGACGACATTCTTCCTCCCAAACTGTGTTGTCATGAAAGGACGCTGGAGCTGGGCCACCCTCCAAGAAGTTCTTCAAGACCGGCTTGCAGGAGTCCTTGAGGATATCCAATTTTGACCAGCGAATGCGCTTGACGGACACGAGCTGCTGCGAAGGCTAGCGATTATAAATGAATTTCTTGGAGAAGATGACGACGGCGCTGCGCTTGAGAATGGCCATTGCATCAGTCACCGAGATATTGCCCAACGCAGGACGCATCATGCGGAAGAACTCCTCGTGCTGAACGGTAAGGGCTGTCTCTGTCAAGTCATCTTCAGGTTCAGCCTCAGGATTGTAAGCGTTGTCCAACACAATGCGAAGCTGATGCCTGACGAATTTCGAATTGGTCCACCGCTCTCTGGTCATAGTTTCCTCATCGGCCACATCTGCAAAAGCCTTTTTTTTGCCTGACTCTCCTCCGATGTCTCCATCGTCATACAGAGCAGGAATGGCTGGAGTGAAGTGGATGCCACGGAAGAAATCCAAATCACATGTAGAACAGCTTGCGGAGGCGTAGGTTGGGGGGTGACCCTTCGGGTGTCCCAGGTGAAACTAAAACTCCGTTCAGCCATGTTCCCCAGAGTTGCGGTGGAGTTCTTGGTACCATCTCGCCCCCGTCGTCCAGAAGCTCATACCTGAGGCGCGAGAGGCGGCAGATGGGCGAGGAAGGTAGCCATGTGCAGCTGGTGTTGCGCAGTGTGTTGTCCAAGAGGCACCGGCTCACTGATGCCGACTTCCATGTCATCAAGCCTGAGATTGGGTGAAGTGAGGATAAGGCTACAAGCCAGAGAATGCCATGCGAACATTTTTTAGACAAGAGGCTGCAGATCACTGGTTTCCACGGCCATAGCGTCCGATCTGACAAGGGGTGAAAGAGATGAAGCTTATAGATTTGATAGCAGGCAGTGATGTTGATTTGAGACAAGTTTTTGCTTGGTAATCATTTATTCAAGCAAGATACTCCCAATCGTCTTTCGTGTACTGCTTCGGCTTCGCCGCAGCAATAGCGCAAGGCACAACAGGCATAGCAACACAAACGGATGACAAGGAGCGAACCAAGCTTGATGAGGAAATGCTGCTTCAACACCAGAGGCAACGTCAAGACATGCCAATAGTGTTTGGGTTTCCGGTCGGAAAGAAGAGAAGATCAAAACTAAAAGACTAACAGGACAAAAAAAACTAAAGTCATTGGACATCCTCCAAGGCTGATGGTTTGTTTTTCTTTGGCTTTGTTGGTTTTTGGTTTTTTGTTTTTGTTTGTTTTGGTATTTTTGGTTTGCACTTCAATGATTTTGGTTTTGTGTTTTACTAGTGTTTGCCATACATCCGAAAACATGCATAAAATACTGTACATACCATAGTAAATTAGCAAAACCTTGGCTTGGGGGGGGTACCATATGCGAATTCGGCATTCGTCATCATTCCACCGATCGAATCTTTAGTTCAAGACCCCCCTCGGCGCGTGATCGAAACATGCGTTGATCCGCTTTTCATGGCAGCCGGAGCCTTGGTGTAGGTTGCAGGTTTGTGAAGAAGTCATTGGAGCCTAGAGGCGAAAGATGACGGAACGAACAATCGCTCGAACGAGCGATGGGGTACCACGGTACGATGGGTCGCCAGAGACGCTAGCTGCTTATCGGGAAGAGGCCATACAATACCTCATGACCTTTGAGTACAAGAAGCGCTACATCGCAGGGCCAAGACTTTTGAAAGAGCTCGAAGGCACTGCGAAATTAGCTGTGAGAGCCATGACCTTGAGGAACCCACAATGGTTGAGCCAGCCGAGGGGGGTCTATCTCCTTTTGGACTACCTGGAGGGTGTGGTGGCAAGACCATCACTTCCGGAAGCATCCCGCTTTGTGACTCGGTTTTTCTATGGGTTGCAAAAGGAGAAAGCATGACTAGTTGGTGCACTCGCCATTCCGAGTGTCTATGGGAGGCTAGTCAGGCCTTGAGGAAGGTGCAGAAGGAATACGACAAGACTACAACGACGTGGAAACCTTCATGGGAGCCCAGTGATATCGATCGAGGCAGCCATAGAGGTTCAGAACAAGGTCCATTTCGAGATGATGGTCGACTTGATGAAAATGAGGAAGGCGCCGATGGAGATTGGTGGGGACACCAATGGAAGGCTTGGTCGGAATGGTCGACAGGCACTTGGCACTCCAAAGAATATGACCCGCCTGAGTCATGGGATGTGTCCAGCGACATCTTCATCCCAGAGTTCTTGGCGGGTTTCTTGCTCCTCCACCGCAGTGGACTCGATGCAAATGAAAGGGCTAACATTTTGGCCGCCATTCGGGGTGAGTTCAGCACCAAGTATGGCCGACGATGCTTCAGGGTAGAGCATTTGGATGCTGCGAGCCGTGAGGCCTATTTCACTGAGGAGGACAAGGTTCAGGAAGCACTAGCAGCGATTCGCACACAGAAGACCACACTTCGTGAAGCTCGCTGGAAGCAGAAACAACTCAAGCTTGGTCGAGGATATTTTCCACCCAAGCCCTTTCAGAAGACCAATGAAGCCAGCGGGTCTACCACCCGAGGTCCATGCTTTCGTTGTGGAGGACCACATCGGATCGCCGAATGTCCAAAGAAGGGAACAAGCCAACAAGCCAAGGTTGCTCATGAAGAAGCAGCAGAGATCGCTTTTGTGGCAGGCGTACATGAGTTTGAAGAGGCAGGCCTTTTTGGACAGGAGCACACCGCTTTGACCTTGGAGAGTGTGGTTGATTCACGCATGGGGGTAGTGGATTCCGGGGCCACCGCATCACTGGCTTTCATCGATGCCTTGGAGAAAGTGCGCATGGCAAATCTCCAGAACTATGGGGAGGCCCTCATGGAAGTGGATGTCAACAAGAAGCCAGTGTTCCGCTTTGGCAATGGTGCCAAGTCAGAATGTTTGTCAACGGTGACCATGGGACTTGGAGCAGGGGAACATCGCGGACGCTTTGAGGTACATGTTCATGAAGCTCCAGGCCAGCCAGTGCTGATCTCCAAGAAAGCTCTTAAGGCCTTGGGAGCAGTGCTGGATTTTGAGAGGTCGTGCAACTTCAGGAAGCACCGAATGGTCACCTGTTGATGCCACTGACGGGCAATTTGCTTGATGGAGCCAAGTCGCGTTCCATGCCTTTTTACTCGTTGTTTGAATAGGGAGATGACTCTCTTGACGATATGGACGGAAAGACTTCCGGTCAGGAGAGCAGTAGTGATGGGAAGATTGTAGAGCCATGTCAACATAGCTCATTGGACAATCATTTAACTCAGGGTTTTTCACTTTGTGAAGTTTGTGACCTTTTGTCGGTAGCCGACGGTCGATGCAATTTTTGTGAACATTTGGAGGACAGTCATTGTGTTGAGAAATGTAATCACACACAGCCTTTTGCACATTCAAGCAATTGTCGCAATCTCTTTGTGTCCGATTCCAGTCGTCATGCCGCTGCCAACAATCAAAGCTCAGTGGATTGCCAAGCTTCAGGAGGAGGGGGTGAATGTCCCTTCTGAGTGGACACTCCTTCAGATCAAAGCTCACTATGCCGAGATCATGGAGACACAGAAGCAACAGGGCAACTCCAAAACGTTGGAAGAGACGGACCTTCGTCGGAGTGCCAAGAAGAAAGCCGACACAATTGCGGCCTTGACAGCCAAGGGAGAACGAGCCATTTGCCAGAAGTATCCACCTCAGGGAGGAGAGAAAGTGGGGTTTGGAAAGCATGGAGACCTATCACTGGATCAAGTGATTGCTCAATTCCCGAGCTATGTGAATTGGTGTCGGGAGACCATCCAGGATGCGGAGGACCCATACTGGAAGATGGAAAGGCTGGTGCCGTATGCCGACCAGCGCCAATCCCACAAGGACCAGGGCAAGGGCTACTTCACCTACAGTACGTCAAGACAATGAAGGAGTCTCCACCAGACACCAAGGGCTACAAAGGCAAGACTACACCGGGAAACAGTGGACACAGCTGGGACGGCGATATTTCAGAGCAGGACCATTGGGAGAAGGTCGAACACGACAAGGCAGAGATCGAGAAGCGCATGGGCATTCCTGGAGGCAAAAACACGAAGCACAAGGAAAGCAAGACCCAAGCCGAGATCGAGAACGAGAGTTTGAAGGCCCAACTCAAGGAGATGCAGTCAGTCAATGCAGAGTTGGAACTACAAGTGAGTTGTGTGAAGGGCCGCAAGGAGATGTAGATCATGCGGAGGTACTTCCGGAGAGGTTGTCACGCTTGCACAACGAATGGGGAGTTCGAAAGAATCCTGATAGCAAGACTTGGCATGACCTGGTTTCTCATGGAAGACCCCTTCTCATGGAGGTTGCTTGTTATCCAGATAGCATTTTGGGGACCGAGGTTGAAAGACGTTTTGGTTCAGGCAGTTGTCTTTGGCTCTCCGAGTGGAATGGAGGCAATCTTGAAACTCCGGAAGGCATTGATCTGATTCTCAAGAAGATCAAGAGATCTCGACCTCTCAAGCTTTGGATCTCATGCGAATGTTCACCCTTTTGTCCTTTGCAGAGGCTCAATCGCCGAACCCCCGAACACAGGCTCAACCTCAGTCAGAAACAAGACAGAGCCATCACCCAATATCAAGGTGCAATTCAAGTGGCTGAGTTTGCTTTTAAATTGGGGGTTGATGAATTGTTTGAACTTTCGCAGAGGTGTGAAGCGTGGAACTTGCCTTGCATTGAACAATATCTCCAAAAGAACGAACTGGAAAAGGTGTCAACAGCTGGCTGCAAGACTCGGGACCAGACAAAGTTGTTGCGCAAAGCTTGGACGGTTGCCACAAAGAATACACTGTTTTTGCAACGCATGAATTTACAGTGTCAACAAAACCATGCCAAGGGCCGGTGCGAAGCAGGGGAAACTTCACATACAGCACGGTACACAACGGCATTCGCTCGCCGGGTTGTGGATTGTTTTTGTGAATCAGAGGGTTGGGGACACATTGTTCAAGAGTTGAGACGGCCCATCCCTGAGGACGCATATCCTGCAGTTCCAGATGATGAAGAACTCTCCGAGGCAGGTGAGCTGCTGGAGATATCACCCGAAGAGAAGCGTGACATTGAACAGAAGATACAACGTATTCACAAGAACACCGGACACGGGAGCATGAAGAACCTCATCCAGTCGCTTCGTCGAAGAGGAGTTGCTGAGAAGGTTCTACAGGTAGCAAAGCAGTGGAAGTTTCCTAGTTGCGCTGAAAAGAAGTTTCGTGATCCAAGGAGATTCGCAACACTAGAAACTGTAGCAGCCAAGTGGGAGGTATTAGAGGTTGACGCAGCAGCATGGCTACATCCTATTCACAAGACAAAATGTCAAATCGCAGTCATGGTGGATTCAGGTAGCAGGTTCACAGTGTGTCGTCTTCTTCATGAACATCCCACGAAAACCGGAACTTGGGAAGATTTCAAAAGGGCTTTGGAAGAACAATGGTTGCCAATTTTTGGAAAACCCAAGACAGTTCGCCGGTTCGCGTTGATCCAGCAGGTGCATGGTTAAGTAAACAGGCAGATGAATATTTCAACAATCGGGACATATTGTTGGACCATATTCCACGGGAAGCACATTGGCAGTTGAGCATTGTGGAGGGCACAATTCGGACATATTTTGTCCGCACTCGCAGAAGAGTTTCCGGAGGTTGACAATCGTGAATTGTTGGCACGTGCGACCTGGGTGCTCAATACCAGAGAATGTTACAAGGGATACAGCCCAATGCAACATGCCTTGGGAAAATCACCAGATGAATGTGACAGAATGTTTGAAGCTCAGGAGGCCATCTCAATACGGCCAGAACTATTGCAAGACGGAGGGTTCCAAGAAGATGCAAAAATCAGGATCTGTGCAGAGAAAGCCTTTCTTGATGAACAAGCCAAGAGAAGATTGGAGCGAGCTGAACGCATGGGAAAAAGGCGAGACCAGCTGTTTCTACCAGGAGACCTGGTCTTCTATTGGCGGACACAGATTCCACACAATGAGAGAGGTACATTTCAGACGGGAAAATTTCTTGGTCCAGCAAGAGTCTTAGCAACAGAAACACGTCGTGACAATGGAGAGTTGAGAAAGGGAAGCATTGTTTGGCTCTATTAGGCAGGGAGATTGTTGAAGGCAGCGCCCGAACAGATTCGCAGAGCAACAGAAAATGAAACAATCCTTGAAGAGCTGTCGGGGCCCGTTGAACTTCCTTGGACATTCAGCCACATTGAACAAGATGAGCGCCGCAGAGTCTTTACAGACATTACTGGAGAGGCACCAAGCGATGAGATGGAAGCAGCAGAAGAGCATGTGAGAAGGGAACCAATGATCCTGGAAGAGCCAACACCCAACAAAGAATGGGTGACTACCACCAGGGCGACAACCAAACGTCCAGGTGATGTGGACCTAAGACAGATAGTCACAAAGCAGGCCAGACAGGAAGTTCCCAGAGGAGAGAAGAGACCAGCAGATGAGAATCCCGGAGGAAGATCAAGCTCCAGCAGACCTCGAAGAGATCATGACGCTTTTTGCAACATAGTCGAACATTGCTGGGCAGTTGAAGCAGAACTTCCACTTCCAGAAAGCAGGCGTGGTTGGAAGAAGTTCATGAACAATCCTGAAGCTTACATGGCAGGCCAGTTGCGGAAGAAGCAGATTGAAGTACATGAACGCCGACTCACACCTGAAGAGGCCATACGATTTTGTGAGGCCAAAGACGAGGAAGTGAAGAACTTCATAGCGGCACAGTGTTTCCAACAGGCTCAAGAACAATTTCCCGATGAGAAAGAGATCATTGGGATGAGGTGGTTGCTCACTTGGAAACACGACCCATCTCAGGAAGACGGAAAGAAAGCAAAGGCAAGGCAATCGTTCTGGGATTTCAAGATCCATCCTACAGTGAGCGTGAAACATCAGCACCAACACCATCCAAGGCTGGGAGACAATTGTTTTTACAATTGTGCGCATGGAAGAAGTTCCGCATTTCAAAGGGAGATGTCAGTGGGGCATTTCTTCAGGGAGAAACTCTCGATGATCCTCTGTGGTGTAGACCACTTCCAGAGATGCGCCGAGAGTTAGGAGTAGAGGAGGACACACCCATGTTGTTAACCAGAGCAGCATACGGTTTGGTACAAGCACCACTTCAATGGTACAAGTCGGTTTGCAATACTCTCAAAACATTGGGATATTTGCGGTTGACAACAGAACCATGTTGTTGGATTTTGCAAGACAACCAGGGACAGGTGAGGTCAGCAGTGCATGGGCATGTGGACGACTTCATGGTAGCGGGGAAACAAGGTGATCCAATTCACGAAACAGCCACACAAGCTCTCAAACAAAAATACAACTGGGGCGCCTGGGAAACGAATTGTTTTGAGCAGTGTGGATTGGAGGCGAAGCAACATGAGGATTTCAGTATTTCCTTGAGGCAGAGTCGATTCATCGATGATTTGGAAGAAATTTCACTTTCAAGGGATCGCAGTCGTCAAGGCGAACAACCAACCACAGACAAGGAGAAGAGCTGGCTAAGGGGAACCTTAGGAAGCCTTTTGTGGTTGTGTGGGCAAACATGCTTCATGTATTCAGCAAATGTCAGTTTCCTCATTTCAACAATACCAGTGAGCACAGTTTCGGAAGTGATCAAGACCAACACTGTTGTTAGAAACGTGAAGAAGTGGAGAAACCAACAGTTTTGGATACACGCATTTCCAGAAGACGAAACACTTCACATGATTTGTTGGACAGACGCTGCATTTGCAAACAGGCCCAACGAGAAGGATTCAACAGAAGGAATCTTTGTTGGTTTGACCACAAAACATGTACAACAGGGTAGAGAGTGCGACATTACACCAGTGCATTGGAGATCAGCCAAAATCTCTAGTGCGCAAGTCACCAGCGTGTGCAGAGACTCAGGCGGCAATTGATGGCGAGGACGACCTTCTTTACCTAAGGGTTCTTTGGCATAAGATGACCGGGGGTTGCTTAGATCCGAGAGATCCCAATCAAGCAGCTTCACACGTTCCAGCAGCACTTGTGACAGACTCCAAGAACCTGTACGACAAGATCCACAGAGCGACTGTGGTGGTCAAGGGTGCAGAAAAGCGAAGTGACATTGAAGCCATTTCCTTAAGGGAAAACTTGGAGGATTGCAAAACACCTATCCTTTGGGTACATGGCGGTGCAATGCTTTCAAATTCCTTAACCAAGCCAACCGAGAAGCAGCAAATGTTAGACTACATCATGCTGAACTTTCGGTACAAGATAGTTTTCGATGAGTCTAGACGCTCGGAGAAGGTAAGGAAGAAGCAAGGCATGAACACCTTCGAGGACCATGGTTCGATACACTTCGGCGCACACAACATACAAGGGTTCGAAGGATGATTTTGAGTCCTCCAAATTCGATGGTTCCATTTTCTAGAATACTTTGAGTAGAATGGTGGCAGTGCGAATTCGGCATTCGTCGTCATTCCACCGATCGAATCTTTAGTTCAAGACCCCCCTCGGCGAGTGATCGAAACATGCGTTGATCCGCTTTTCACCATATATATATATATTTACTTGGCTCCCTTCTGCTCAGCTTGTGCTTCCTTCCCCCCGTAAAGAAGGCTAAGAAGGCTTCAAAAAAGGGAAGGCCACAGCCTTGGGCAGCCTTGGGTAGCCTTGGTTAGCCTTGGCCTGAGATGCCCACCGTCTTCGCATTGGTTCCATGAAGGTGTCCTTTCACAGCCCACTCGTATACTCATAGACAACATCTGTGGATGACCAATCCAACCAGTATCCAATGAGTATCACCTTCTGCTGTGCTTTGACACAAGTTGCAAGGACTTCACTTGAGCAGCCTCAACTTGAGCAGCAATACCAGCTTCGACTGCAACTCGCATCTCCTCCTTAAAAGTGCTTGTGCGGATGTTCCCTCGCACGAGATCCATTTCTTTGGGCTGCACTTCAGCAGCTTGATTAATTGCATTCAAGGGTCTGCAATGCCACGTTCATCATACATTTTCATGTCCTCAAACAGCAAACGAGTATCCTTCACATGTTGGGCTACCACGTGCACAAACAAATCATGAACACGTCATGTGGGCTTGGGGGCTGCGGGGGACCGTCATGCGACGAACAAATCCGAGTCCTCACGCGCGTCATCCTGTGCCTTGACCCAATCACAGTCCTGTCAGACGTTTATACAATGCGTCAAGAATCCCCTGCATGTTGGATGTCCTCTTTCTGTTCCACAGGCATGGTCTCATAGATTGCTTTGTACCTAGGTGTGAACTGAATCAACGATGACACGCAACCTCAACTCTTGCGCTTCGCTTAGAAGCAGACGTCTGAATGGCCTGCTTTTCCAAAGGCTCCACAACATCATTCTCGAACTTCCTCAGCTGGATAGCCTATGCAAAAAGTTAACAAACTGTATACGATTCTGTAAACAGAGTATGATGCTTACATCTTCTTTTCATGACCCGCCACGCAAGTCTATGAAACATAGGCATTCTACCTGATTCGCGTAAAGCGCATTGCATGGGCAGCTGAAGATTGTGAAAAGCCCTAACCCCCCCTGCCCACCATCTCTTCTAGTTTATCTGGCAAGCTTCTCCCCTGTTCCTGGCCCGCGCTGCATGAGCTCCTGAAAGGCAAAACTTGTTGATCTGTTGGCAAGGTGGAAAGGTGCACGAATCCATATCTACCCACAGGGAGGGTGCCTTCACCTGGAACCTGAGTGTCTCAAATTCAAAACATTGCTTCACAAAACCACTAGGACCTTGGTTGCCTCACTTTCAGAAAAGCTGTTGCACAAAGTGACTGAAAATCATGAGGCACGCAAGCTCCTCTCGAAGAAGGTCCATGTCAATCTCCAATGAAGCTCCAGCTTTCGCAAAAGACATGCCTAGATTGGGTAGTCAAACGGTCTTGATCAACTGAACAGTGAGATGACACATCAGCCATCATCACCCGTCGCCTGCTTGCCATCACCACTCAAACGGACCAAATGATTCATTTGGAAAAAAACAAAACTCCCCGTCATAAGCTGAGCATGAATCTAGCAGTCACCAAACCAAGTGAGGTCAAGCCCATTGATGATACTTAGACTGTGTAAGCACTCCTTCGGTATTCATCCTTTAATTGCAATCGTCACATCCCACTGTCGTCTGAGCAGAGTAGTATCTTTGGAAATCGTCGCTACTCCATCACTAACACCCCTTGGGTACAGCCCTTTGTTCTTTCATAGCGTCTTGATTGATGCCTTTTGCAAGCTGTAGAGAGTGCACTTGAGGAGGCGGGGGTGGACGAAAGGTAGCATGTCTGCGGCTGCTGCTGCTGCTGGTTGCTGGTTGCTGCTGGTTGCTGCTGCTGGTTGCTGGTTGCTGCTGGTTGGTTGCTGCTGCTGCTGGTTGCTAGTTGCTGCTGCTTGCTGGTTGCTGCTGCTGCTGGTTGCTAGTTGCTGCTGCTTGCTGGTTGCTGTTGCTGTTGCTGCTGCTGGTTGCTGCTGCTGTTGCTGCTGCTGGTTGCTGCTGCTGTTGCTACTTCTTGCTGGTTGCTGCTCCTGCTGGTTGCTGCTGCTGTTTGGCTGTTGCTGTTGCTACTTCTTGCTGGTTGCTGCTGTTGCTTGAATCCTGAAGACTGCTGCTGCTGCTTTGCTTTCCCCCCCTCTTTCAATTTCGTCTGCGCAGCCCCCCAAAAACTGAACGAAAACGAAGGGTTGTGGAGGCCAAACTTGTGTGAGCTTTGGTGTTGCTGCTGCCACTGGTGCCACTGCCGCTGCTTTCTGCTTTGCTGTGCTGCTACTGCTGCTGCTGCTGCATTGCTGGTTTGCTGCTGCTGCTGGCTGCTTGTTTCTGCTCAGATCACTACCAAATTCTCCGCGACGCAGGGCGGAGTCGAATGGGGGGGGGGCCCCCCCCCGACATTTAAAACCAACTCTTAAACGACCGAAATCATGGACAGGAGCTCGTGACCACCCCCAATACATTGCTAAAGCAAGGCAACTCAGGTAGCGTAACCGCTACCTTTCGTGAAAAGCAGGTCCAGGAGGTTTCAAGTGTAACATTGTGTCGCCTGGACCTTTGCGTATTCAAGTTTCAACTAGGCCTTTGCGTCTTCGTGGCATTGGCCTGATCGGACCAAAGCCTGGCCGGGAATGATTTCTGCTTCTGTCTGCATGAACCAAACAGGGCATTCCACTGATGAGGACAGGTACGTTGGCGAGCTTTGCAAAGCACACTTCCTGGGATGCGGAATGGTTAAAATATTATCTAAACTAGTTGCAAGATGTCGCAAGGAAGAGCGTTAAAGTATGTGGAACTCTTGCCCTGGGCGTCTAAGCATCCAAATCCAATTACAGTAAGTGAAAAATGCTGCGGTCCAGGGGCTGTCAAACACCAAGTCCTGGCCATTGGTGTGTGGTCCTGCGATCAGCGGCAGAACCCGGTGAGTCGTCACAAGCGCTGAACAGTCACAGCTGCAGTCCCGATCCATGGCGACCAGCAGCTTCGTTTTTTGGCGACTGGCGGTCACTGAGGTCTATAGCGATGCCAGGAGCCCCTAGTAGCGTCCTTGCTCCTAGTAGCGATGCCAGGAGCCCCTAATAGCTTCTTGCTCCTAGTAGTAAGGCCAGGAGCCCCTGGTGGTTTGCATTCTGGACATCATGAAGTTGAAATTGCATCAATTTGCACGCTAAGCTATGCCTGAGGGACCTCATTTGCTTGAGGACAAAGTCAAATTTGTCGGTCTCGCAGCGGGGATGCTTTTGGGGAAATGTCCGCACTTGGTCCTGAGCGGCCAACTTATGGGAGGTTGCGCCGGCACGATCACTCCACACAAAAAAACTTGGATATCCGAACAATGCAGAATGCATCCACAAAGTATCGCCTGCACAACAGACACATTCCTCCACTGCAGCAGAGAAGGTGGGAAGCCGGGGACTATATATATACATATCATTTTGTCCACCCGTGACATGTCGTGACCCCGGAGGGACCTTCGACTTGAGGAAAGAAGAGCCTGCTCGGCGCCCCGCGGTTGGGGCGGACACTCCGCAATTGGCATTCGGAGCCATGGCTTGTTGGTGATCCTGCGGTCAGGATCCACACCCGTGACATGTCTGCTGCGGCCTCGGAGGCCGCCCCTTTGCGCTTCTCTGGAGAGAATGAGGATGGAAGAGAATACAAGAGATGGAAGACTTGGGTAAAGAATAAGCTCTTGACCCTGGACAAGTTACCTGAAACTGCCTATATATACACGTTGTTGGCTGGCAAGGCCTTGGAGGCCGTTGAACACCTGGATCCGGGCGACTATCAGAAGAAAGATGGCGACCAGGTCCTGTGGTCGTTGCTGGACAAAAGGTTTCCTCAGCTGGAAGTGGTCGATGAGCTTGGTGAAATCCTGGGCGAGGTTTTCAATCTTCGCTCCCAGGAGGGGGAAACGATGAAACAATGGGCTGCCAGAGCATCGGAGTTGTTCGACCGATGCCACAGGAAAACAGGAGTTCAGTTTCCTGACGAAGCCAGAGGCTGGCTTTTGTTGCACAGGGCCAACCTCAGCGAGGAGCAGAAGGCCGTGGTCATTTCGCGTGCCCGTGGAGATCTCAAACGAGAATCCATTGCAGCAGCTCTCCGATCATGCTACCCCGACCTTGTTGTTGGAAAACGGCGAACAGCCGTTGCATTGGCGGAAGAGACCATTGACGATCCAACCGAGCCCCACGATGCCTGGGAAGAAGATTTTTCAGACGTGGAGCACCTGCTGGAAGAACATCAATCGTCCGCTGATTGGGCCGCTGACACGGAGGCCTACAATGAAGCTGAGGTAGCAGAAGTGTTGGCTGCCACATGGAAAGAGCGTCGACAAGAGCTCAACCGTCTCCAAAAGACAAGACAATTCCAGAAGTCCAAGGACGTGAAGAGAGCATTTCGTGTGGAAGTGGAAGAGATGAAGCGACACACTACCTGCAACCGCTGTGGCCGTCGAGGTCATTGGGCCCGTGAGTGTCGAGCCAAAGACACTCGCAAAGGCAGCAGCAAGGGATCCGACAAATCAGGAGCTTCTCAACCTTCAGGTGCTGCAGTTGTGGAAGAGCTGGATTTCATTGCAGCGATCATGAATCGCCCGACCTTGTTGGAGCAAGCACGTATGCGGGGCTGCTGGTGAGTGGACCCCTGACGAGGTCATGCTGGTTTCCTCACCAGGATTTGGTGTGTTGGATTCGGGCTGTGGTAGGACAGTTGTTGGGGCTTCAACTTTACAGAGCTTTGAAAAGCTGTGGTCTCAGCGTGGCTGGACAGTGCCCTCCAAGATTTCCGAGGTGCACCAGTTCAAGTTCGGAAATGGTGATGTGGAGACCTCCCACTATTCCGTCCAGATGCCCGTCATCCTGGCTAATCGCCGAGGGGTGATCAGAGCTGCAAAGGTGACGCTCCTCTTCTGGTGAGTCGCAGTGCCTTGAAGTCCCTTGGCGCCTCACTGGATTTTCAAAAGGACTGTCTCAATGTTTTTGGTCAATCTGTTCCACTCAAGACCAATGGAGCAGGACAGTATGTGGTTGATTTGCTTTCCCCCAAAGAAACTATAGCAGCTGATTTCACGGAAGTCATGATACTTGAGCCTCATCCTCATCCAGCGAACCTGTCACCGGAAGCACCCGAAGCAGACACACCTGTGACTCTCGAGCCATCTGCATCACCTGCGGCGGATGAGAAGCCGCTAGCTGTTTGGACTCAGGAGAACAGTGATGTGATGGCAACTCCGTGGTTATCTCGTTCAGGGCCTGCATGGAAACAAGTGGTTCGTAGGAAAGTGGTTGATTGTGAAACCAATCAAGTTCTTGACGACTCCCCAATCATTCCAGGGAACCCTCAACATCGCACCATCGTCCGCCTTCCTCGAAGAGTTGCTCATGTTCGGACCGAATTTTCCTTTTTGGGTGAAACCATGTCCGTGTCCAATGAGTGGCAACCGACGGAGAGAGAGAGTCGACAGTTGGAAAGTCAAATCAAAACTTGTTTGGCCGTGCAGCACCCTCAAGATCGCTGTCTTGTGATGGAAGTGTTTTCACCTCCTCGTTTTTCGATTGAAGCAGAGAAACATCACTTCCGAGCTAGGTCGTATGATCTTAAGAACGGTTGGGATTTTCGCCTGACTCAACACAGGAGAAAGGTGGAAGATGATCTCATCAACGACACGCCGTCGTTGCTCATTCTGTGCCCTCCGTGTACTCATGAAGGTGGTTGGTTCTGGTTGAATAGTCAGAAATGGGATCCTCACACAGTGCTGCGCATTAAGGCACAGAGCCGAAGCTTTATTCGATGGTGTTGCAAACTGTTCCGAATAGGTGTACAGTTGGGATGTAGGGTGGTGTTTGAGCATCCGACAGGGGCAAGAACCTGGCATTACCCTGAGGTAGAAGGACTCTGCCGACGTTTTCACACAGTGAAGCTTCACATGTGCAGGTATGGTCTTCGATTGCCTGAGAGTGATCGGTACATCCGTAAGAGCACCCGTCTGTTGGTTTCTCATGAAGACATGTCCAGCCTGGGTCTCACATGTGACCACACTGGAACGCATCAGTGTCATGATGTGATCGCCGGTAGTGCACCTGGTGTTCCTCGTATCAGTACTTTTGCTGGTGCCTACCCCGTGAAGTTTGTTCAAGCGGTGTTGAATATGATACCTCAGTTTAAGCTAGATCGATCCAAGGCCACCTCGTCATGTGAATGCATCGCTCATGTAGAAGTCATCAATGAAGTCCCCGATGCGTCATGGACAGAGATCCTAGCCGCTGGACAGGTCCGAGACCGCTCTGACAGTGATCTGATTCCGGTTTTGGATAAGCTTCATAGGAACTTAGGTCATCCACCGAATCACGATCTAGTCAGGATTCTTCGCCATGGACAGGCCAGTGAGCAAGCAATACGTTTGGCTAAGGAATTCTCGTGTGATTTGCGCCGGAGTCAGCTCAAACCAAAGGTGCCTCTGCCGGCGCAACCTCATCGGATCACAGAGTTCAATAGTCAAGTCGGTCTCGATGTGAAGCACTTAAAGGGTTGGTTACCTAACCAAAAGGTGAAGGCATTAAACATTGTCGATACTGCTAGCAGTTTTCAACGGGTGATTATCATATTCCTTTCTTTGAAACAGAAACTGCAAGTGTTTTGAGGAAGTTGTTCACAGACAGTTGGATTTCGTGGGCTGGTGTTCCCAAAGAGATCGTTTTGGACCCTGCCAGAACAAACCTGGGAGATCCGATGGTAGTGCCTGCCGAGCTGGACGGTGTCCAGATCCGTCCGATTGCTGCTGGAGCACACTGGCAATTGGGGAAGTGTGAAACTCATGGAGGCTGGTTCAACCGCGTTCTAGAAAAGTTGATTGAAGAATTTTCTCCATCATCCAAAGAGGAATGGTTAGAATGTGTAGTGCATGCACACATCAAGAACCAACAGCTGCAGGTACATGGTTTTTCACCATACCAACTCGTATTCGGTCGCAATCCACATATTCCTCAGGACTTGCTGAACGAACCTCTCCAGGTAATCTCAGCAACAGCTTCCCTGACAGAAGCATCAATTGCCAGAGCCTGCCCGTACAGCATTGGTTCAGATGCAAGACGATCGAGCCCTGCAGGTGGCTCTGTTGGCACGTCCCCGAGTGGAAATGACTTTCAATCCGGGTGATATGGTAGCCTATTGGCGAAACCAAAAGTGGGTTCAGGGTCAGCTCCAACAAGGGGGTCAGTGGTATGGAGTCGCCATCGTTCTCGGTCGAGTAGGTCGCAATGTCGTCATCATTCATCGACGACAAGTGCTGAAATGCGCTCCAGAGCAACTCCGTCTGGCTACTAATGAGGAGAAAACCCTGCTGGCATCGCCTCAAGCTGAATTGTTAGGTATCAAGGATCTGATTGATAGTGGTAACCTCCGAAGTAAAAAGTACATAGACCTGTTGCCCCAATCTTATCCCCCACAAGAAGGACCAGTCGAGCCAGCTGTCGATAGTCATACCGAGCCGGAGTCAAGCACTGTGGTAGCGCCGCCTCAAGTGAATGCACCACTCGTGCCTGAGCCAAAGTCCACTTCAGCTGTGCCAGAAGACTCTCAAGAAGAGCAAGTGCAGGGTGATCAAGAAATGACAGAGATAAAATCTCCGACACCAGCAGAGGAGACTTCTGACACTCCAAGTTCCGCCGAAACTTCGGCGCCGTCGTCCTACGGTCCCATTCGCCGCCGAATCGAAGGGAAGGATGGACCAATGGCACTGTGGCGGCCTCCTGCCTTGAAGCAAACAGATTTTGTTGACATCATGAAAGAGATAGTACCCCAACTTGTTGAAGATGCATGTATGTCACAAAACAAAAGACCGGCATCTCCGTCCGCCGATGAACCAGTGTCGTCGAGGCCTCGTATGGCAGAAGTGTTGAGTGTTGAAGATGTTGATTTCCTCCTCCAAGCACAAAGTGTGTCGTGGGATTGCCGGATGGCAGAATATCTCAAAAAGAAAATGAGCAAGGAACTGCACCACAGCAACAATCCTCCCGACATTCAGGAAAAGGTCCAACTAGGCAAACGTGTGGAATGGGAAACGATTCTGTCCAAGCCCAACTCGGTCAAGATCCACTATGGAGCAAAAGCCGATCGCATTCGAAAAGAGGAAGACCATCGTTTCATAGGGAGTAGGTTCGTGTTGACTCGAAAGCCGCTCGAAGAAGGTATGGATTTGGGCCCAAATGACAGCACCACATTCACGGTAAAGGGCAGGTGGCGTCTACAGGGGCACTTGGACCCAGATTTGTCTCAGAAGGCCGAACAGGGCCTGTTGAAGTCCCCTACCTTAAGTCAACTAGGCCGGATGTGTTTGTTTCAGACGATTGCATCAAAGGGCTGGGTACTTCAGTTAGGCGATATAAAAGGCGCGTTCCTAGAGGCAGGTCCACTGAACGATGCATTTCGCCCACTCTACGCACACGCCAACCACCTGGTGGCATCCCCGGCCTTCCTGAATCAGCAGTGATAGAAGTGCTCGGAAATATCTACGGACAGAACGACGCTCCGGCGTCCTGGTTCAAAGAATTAAGTATGTAAAGGGGTTGAACTGGTATCAGAGTGTTCTAGACCCGTGCCTGTTCACACTTCGAGATGAAGCAGGAGCCTTGGTAGGGATCATGGGCGCGCACGTGGACGATACAGCAGTAGGTGGACATGGACCGGTTTTCGAGGCCTCAATCAAGAAACTTCGTACTAGATTCCCATATAGAAAAAGGCGAATAAGTACAGGTGAGTTTTGTGGTGCCTGGTACTCCCAAACCAAAGATGGGGCAATTCGAATGGACATGAACGCTTTTGCCGACAAGATGCGATCAATCAATGTGCCAAAGAATAGTGCACCAGGTGATCCTTTGACCGACAGTCAAGTCAAAGTGCTGCGCGCCGTGAATGGCAGTCTCGGATGGTTGTCATCTCAGTCACGCCCGGACATCAGCGTCCAGACTAGTCTGTCCCAACAGGCCTTTCCAAAGCCGATGATCGAAGACTTTCGGATGGCGAATCAGACGATCAGAAGAGCTAAACAGCATAGTGAGCTAGGAGTCAATTGACCCAGACCAACTGACACTGGTATGCCACAGTGATGCAGCATTTGCTAACAGGGGAAATCACACCAAGCTGGATATATCATTGGATTCACTCACGCATCCCTGCAAGACGGATTCGAAGCAACCTGGTGTCCAGCATCATGGAAGAGTTACAAACTCCCTCGAGCAGTGAGCAGTACCATGTCAGCCGAGAGTCAAGCACTTGCCACGGCCACTGGGACCACTGAATGGCTACTTTTGATGTTGGCTGAGATTTTTGACGGCCCGCTGACAATGCGATCCTGTCGAGATGCGCTGAAAAGGCGCCGACCGATCATCGTGACAGATTGCAAGAGCCTGTACGATCACTTGCATTCTCCTTCTGCCCCCACATCAATTGATGGCCGCCGAACCAGTATAGATGTGGTAATAATCCGGGAGAGCTGTGGGGCCATGAATGCCTTTGTGCGGTGGGTACCCACAAATCGAATGCTCGCTGATGCACTCACCAAAAACGATGGAGATCCAATAGACTTGCTTAGATCTTGCATGAAGCGATCTTCATACCAAATCTCGCCTGAAGAAACTGTATTGAAGCATCAAGCACAAGAAAAGGAATTTCGTAAGAATCTTCAGGCAAACCGTGCCGCTCCATCGCCTCCAAGCCGGATAGGGGAAGAGACAGATCATGAGTGATCTGCACTTTTGGGGTTTAGGGTTCGCATTGATTGTTTGGGAAGTCACTGTGATCAGTGAAGGGAATCAATGTTCTTTTTGCCGGCTTCGACCCTAGAACACAGCAGTTGGTGTCTGTGGCCATTTTTGCATCCAGAGTTTCAGTGTTCGTATCACGCCGTCTCACGACTAGACCGGGTGTTGTGCTTTGCAGTTTCCTCCCGACCTAGACATGGCCGGTGCTCCAGCTCAGTTGTCCACGGTGGCTAAGGAGCTCTTGACTAAGGTGAAGGAAGAAGGTTCGGTCCATCTGTTGCTGAACGCTTTGATGGAGCACGAAACCAGTGAATTTGAGTTTGTGCCCTCTACTGGATACAGCCTGGACAGTGGTGCCATGAATGACTCGTCCAAGCGTCGCCTGACCGCTGACTCGAGTCAGGCCCCACATGTGCATTCCCAGAGGCCGATCGTGAAGATGAGCTTCAAAGACCAGGGATCGGTTCCTCTCCCCAAGGGCATCACCTCGATGGACCATTGGGGTAAGACCTTGATCACGTCAGGAAAGCTGTCTAAGCAGAACCTCAGCTATGAAGACCTTGCAAGTTCACCTGAGACGGATTTGGTGAACTACAGTCGATGGCTCATGGCGCAGAAAGATCGCACCAACATGTCGCCACCCATCAAGGACCTCATTGCCTACTTGCTGGCATACACGGAGTTGGCTGAGGGGTCGACTGAGCGATTCCCAGACAGCACGATCCCACGGAAGTTCAAGAGTTGAACTGCCGACGACTTGAGCTGGACATGAGATGGCTGCATAGCTTCAGGTGCTCCTACATCCAAAGAGTATTATGAAGGCGAAGAATGTACCCGTAGGAGCCATTTTTGGAATTTGAAGATTTAAGACCAGTCATTTTGTCCACCCGTGACATGTCGTGACCCCGGAGGGACCTTCGGCTTGAGGAAAGAAGAGCCCGGCGCCCCGCGGTTGGGGCGGACACTCCGCAACATATATATATATAAATAACATTATAGTAAAACTCGTTGCAGCAATCGCAACCCGGATGCAGGCAAGCGTGGTGGCTGCTGGCGTGAACCCTATTACCAAGCAAGGTTTGGAAGTGTGCCTGCCAATGCCCACCGTTTGTCTGCATTTCTAAAGTGAAAGTCCAAGTCTACGCCAGCATGATATTTACACGCGCGAGGCGTTGCACAAGTACTCGGGGTTGCACGACTCTTGCGGTATGACAAGTGTTCACTGGCGTTTTAACAGATCTGCGCGTTATGTTATCTGCTGTTTACCTTCAGCATGCAATCCGATGGTTAAGCTTAGTCTTGCCGATGCAAAGAAGGCTGTCGCATCTACCCGGGAAGTATAAAGCGATAGTGAACAAAGTTTGCCTGCAGCACTTGTGCCTGCCTACACAAGCCGGTGTCAAACCGTTTACGATTTCACAAGTAGATGTTGCAATAACAGTTTTGCTCGAACGAAAGCTACAGTTCCATGTTTCAGATCTTGCATGGGCTACATTCTTCCGTTGTCAAACCTTTACTTCTTCCTTCAATAAGTGCGACCTACACCATAGGTGACTATTGGACTATTGATGAATAAGGATAAACCCAAACATGGAAATATCCAAGGCCCGGGAGATGCATCTTCCAAGATTGAACATATGCATTAGGAAAAGCAATACTACGAAGACGGTCAACAGCTTCCACAGGCCTTCCCGCCCTTGAGAGATTTGCATTTCAATACCAGCTGCAAGATGCAAGTTTAAATTCAGCCCAAGTCTTGTGCACTTCGGACGTACGTGATCTTTATGAACTTTATGGTACGACTTGACCTTGTTGAGACAATATAGTATAGTTATGTGTATAGTATATAGTGGGTTCGGATTTAACTTAGAAATTGTTGTTTCTTTTTGTGAATTTTGTTTGTTTTTCGGTTTTCGTGGCAAGGGCAGTACTTTGTGGACCTTGAAGTGCAGATTTCCTGGTAGGCACAGTACTTTGCGGTCCTTGAAGTGCAAATTGTGTGGCAGGAGCAGTACTTTGTGGACTTCAAGGCGTCGTAGGCGCAGCACTTTGTGGACCTTGAAGTGCAGATTTCGTGGCAGGCGCAGCACTTTGTGGACCTTGAAGTGCAGATTTCGTGGCAGGTGCAGTACTTTATAGACCTTGAAGTGCAAATTTCGTGGCAGGTGTGTGAACTTGGAAGTGCAGATAGAAAGAGATAGATAGATAGATAGATAGAGATAGTGAAAGAGAGAGAGAGAGAGGGAGAAGTAGATATATAGATAGATAGATAGATAGATAGAGTTTCAGTTTCGGGCGCTCTCGAGTAGTCTCAAGAAAGCGGGGCACAAGGTATCTTACCTTGGTTGATACTGTGATCAATCTCGCCGCACCGAGGTGCTCTACATTGGCCAATGGCCATTTCTCAAACAAACATTCTCACTGATGCCAAAAACCGCTATGGCAGCATCGTGGAAACTCGAAGGCTCGCGTGCTATCAGTTGGTACCTGTGGTTCACATCCATAGGGAGAACACAGCAGGTGAACATTTGGAAGTGGGGAACAAACTTCAAAGGGTCCAGCTCAATCTCCTCAGGAGAGGGCACGGGACATCAAATCAGGTGTACAGATACCTCCACGCTTAGCTCATGTGATTGAGCTCAATCTCCTTAGGAGAGGGCTTCAAAAATCAGCTCAGAGCACTCAGTTGATGGAGTTCAGAAAGGCACCAAGGTCCATGCTGGCTGCTCGTTCCTCCTCGGCAGATCTCCCATTGGGGTCCCGCTCCAATCGTCGTGTTGAAGTCACCGGAAACTAGTAGAGGTTCAGCAGGTCAAGACAATGTCCATGAACATGACACCGTACGTGTTGTAGACGTCCTCGATGCAGGTCAGCAATCGACCAATACGTGCTTTGGAGGAATACCACATCTACCATCTGCAGTGTGAGCCACTGAGCCGTGGAAAGAGCCATGGTGTTCCAAGTCATCACAGTCATTCGTTTCCTCCGGCTTAGCTGGTAAGGAGGTGGTACATGATCCCTCAAGCATGCAGGTTGCGGAGACCAAGTGGGTGCATTCATCAAAACTTGCCCTCTGTATAGAGCAAACCCATGCAGTGCCAGTCCTTTGTACGCACGCTTCAGGCTTCGTGTCTTGATGTTGGTGATCCCGTGGGATCCTACAAGCCCTCCGCCCAGAAGTGCAGGGTGATTCTGGTGGAACATCAAATTTTGATTTCCCCTTTCAGGATAGTGCTCAGGATAGTGCTCGGCCACTATCCAACCTTTCCCTTTTCCGCTCCAACAAAGTGTGTTGAACTCACCAAGGTGCTCAGGAACGGACCCGGAATTAGGACCGGGCAGCAAAGAACTGCCAGCAACATAGGGCAGCCACCAATCCAAAGGTCTAGCAGAAAACCAAGCCAGGAGGAGCAAAGCACGGACTCCAAAGAAGTGCAACCAAGTCATGGCTGCAGGCGTGGAGCGTGGCCGGGCATGGCCATTCGATGCTGAAAGGCAGATAGATAGATAGATGGATAGATAGATGGATAGATAGATAGGTAGATAGATAGATAGATAGGTAGATAGATAGATAGATGGATGGATGGATAGATAGACAGATAGACGCATAGGTAAATAGATATATGGGAAGTGGATAGAACAGTGCGGAAAGAAACAGCCAAAGCCTTGACAACCTCTTTGTAGCGTTGTCACAGCAAAGCGAAGGTGGGCCTTATCATCCACCTTTGCGGCGTTGTCAATGCAAAGAGGATAGTGGTTTTGGTACTTAGTTGCCCCGTAGCAACCGTGTATATTAAGAAAGCGGGAGGGGGCGCGGAGGAGGGCGCAGCGCCTCCCCCGCAATGAAAACAAAGTATAGTCAGCAACCCGGCACTGAAGCAACCGCCTGAGTTTAAAGGCGAGCGCTGCTTTGAACCGAACAATCGCCGGGAACAAGTTACAAGTTGCTGCGTCTCCAAGTTTCAAAGTTGTCATAGGTGGCCAAGTGTTTGATGAGATGGGCGTTCTTGACTGCTTGGCCGTCCCGTAGCAATCGCCAAAATGGAAAAAAGCGAGAGGGGGAGTGGGGGAGGGCGCAGCGCCTCCCCCGCAATGAAAGCCAAGTATAGCTGAAAGCAACCGCCTGAATGAACAGGCCTGCAGACTGGCACTTTCCTAATCTACTGTGAATTCTACCTCCGGGTGGCTTACAAACGGTGCTTGATGGTTTTTGCACCATCCTCCTCTAAATTTGACCCTCAAAAGCCACAAGCCACACCTCAGAAGCCCTCATCCTTGCTTCCTTCCTGCCTTCCTTCCTTCCCTCCTTCTTTCCTTCTTTCCTTCGCATGGCTAGAAAGCCACGAAAGCCAAAAGCCAAAGGCCACAGAATCCAGAAGCCACGAAAGCCGCCCAAGCCACGAAAGCCAAAAGCCACACAAAATCCAGAAGCCGCCCAAGCCACGAAAGCCAAAAGCCACAGAAGCCAGAAGCCACGAAAGCCACGAAAGCCAAAAGCCACAGAAGCCAGAAGCCACGAAAGCACGAAAGCCAAAAGCCACAGCAGCCAGAAGCCACGAAAGCCACGAAAGCCTCGCCCACGACTTGCGCACCAATGCAGCGACGCACTGCCCGTATCGCTTATACATAGCGGGTATAGGAAAAAACAAAAACAGAGTGAAACTAGGTGAGAAATTCCGAGAATGAGTTAGACGGTACCATGGGCCCCTAGGGGTAAATCCGGACAAAGGACTTGATCATGTAAGAACAATGCAGCAAGCCAATTAAACGGAAACATCAATCATGTGTTCACAAACCTAATCTGGAAATGAGCAAGCGAGATCAAGGGCCTCTTACAACATCTTACAACGCCTTGGGTCGAGACCTCTGAGTGAACTTGAATCGCTGATCAAATGAAATTTCTCAAACCGGCATAATTGCTTTGAGATTCAGCGGATTTGCATTCCGATATAGAGAGTTCTACGGTGTGTTATTAAACTGATATTGGACTAGAGTCTTAACTACTGGTTCGGCACATGTAATGGTGGGTCCAAGTCGGTATTCCAGCGCATGTTTGTCTTGTGAACCCCAGTAGTTCCTTGCTCTTCGTGCCGCTGTTGAGTATTTTGGAACAAAATGTGTTTCTGCTAAACTCTCAACTGGCAGAGAGCGATTTTGCGGTGGTCGCATTCACATGACAATAAGATTTACTCTGCTTCATGCAGCTCGCAGCCTTTGCAACGCTTCAGGGCGCCGAACGTACCTTCCACCGCTTAAGTGCTTGATGCACAAACTTGACACAATGTGACGAAAGCACGGCTGTGGCAGCTCTGAAGCATAAGGCAAGAACTGCTCATGGCTTGGGTCCAACTTTGGCTGGGTGAATCCAGAGGCATGTGTAGCCAAAGCCAGAAGCAGGTCGGAGAACAAGGCCTGGAAGTCACATTGACCCGTACTTGGCAGGGAACTGCTTCTGCATTCAGTAAAGTAAAATAAGAGTCAAACTCTCTCTAAATTGCGCACCATGCAGTCCTTCCAACAATGCACGACATAATATTCCGGATCAAAGCTGTGGAAGAATTCGGCATAGCACGCCCCACGCCTCAACTGTATTGCACAGTAGAGACACAAACCGCAACACATCAGGTTGTTGCATACAACTAGCATTTTGCTGTTGCAATGGAGAGATGAGATATGCGGATATGCGCACGATTGACAGATTCCATAAAGTGCACCTGTCGGTCTGTGGTTTGATCACGTTCTCAA